GATAGATCATTAGCCATTGAGAACTGCCACATAGCTATTAACGACCTACCGAAGAACTAGTCGTTACTAGAATTTTTTTTTAATAAATTATGTTCATAAACATATATATTTTTTTAATTATTGTTATTAAGTCATCTTATCAATATAAATAAAGTAATTTTTTAGTATTAACTTGCAATAAAATGAAATCCTAAAATAAGAGAATAAAATTTATATTAACTGATTATTCTAATTATTAGTATAATGTTTTGATTTTCTAAATTTATTTGTTAAATTTTAATTATTTTGTAATTTAAAGATTTTAACTATAATTTTGATTTCAAATTAACTAACAATTATTAGACAAAAATTTCAAATTGTATTTGTATTTAAACTATAAATAATTTAAATTAAAAAAAGAATAGAATAATAATTCTAAATATGTATTGTGATTTCCATCAACAGCTAATCCTAATATTTTTTTGGACTTCTAATTTTAAGCATTGGATCATTTCTATATTACATGTCAATTTAGTAAAGGAGATCTTTGGATACTCCACTTGTGTTAAAGGTGAAGGAGAACGAAATTTTTAGGCGTTGCATACCTGTATTGATAGAAGATAGGATTTGCTTGCTTATGCATTTGCATGATAATGCTAGCCAATAGAACATGAGATATGTTAAATGATATGGGTTGGATATATCTAAAGTAGAAGTTCTTAGAGCTTGATCATCATATGGTTGGCTTGCACTTTCTTTAAATGCATTACCATAAGTTACAATGGGAAAGAAAAGGTGGACATTTGGATGATGTTCAAAGGAAATAACTTGACTTTGAGCATGTTATTCTGTATCATCCTTAGATTTCAGGCAATCATGTGCAATGATTCTTTAGTGCATTATGCATAGAGACAATTGCTTTCCAACTTCTTCATTTGTAATCTTCGTAACTGTCACATGAACATACTTAGGATGTTGTAGGAAATTGCAGTAATCAAAGCTTGAATAGGCAATCCACGGGCTCATTTAAGGAAATTGTTAAATAATTTAGATATGTTTATAGTCATTACTCCAAACATATGCCTGTTGTCATGTATAAGTGCCATACGTGTAACATCACGGTCTACCGGCCATTTATGTACTTCCTGCTTGATGTTTTGTAAGTTAATCATGCATCTATTGAATGTAGGAAGATCATCGGTGGTACCTGATAGGTATATTTCCTAGCATAAAAATATACATCTCTAATGTCTATAGTGCGCACTACTTTCTTTAAGTTATCCCTTAAATGTCGGAGGCAATGATGATGAGCTACATTTGGGAATATATCTTGACACTCACATACTAAACATGTATATGTCTATTCGAAATAACATAAATGTCAAGTATTGTCCTAACTATTGGTATGGTGTCGTACAGACTACTAAGGAACTATAACTAAAATTCATTGCATTTTGACTCATCAATGGAGAAAGCTAAGTGGAATAGGCCATTATTTGTATTAATATCAACTGCAGTAAGTAAGGTACCCCTTTATTTACCAAGCAGAAAGGTTCCATCAAGGCTCAAAATTTGCTAGCAATACCTCCAGCCTACAATGAAGGGCCCAAAATCCCATAATATTCTCTAAAAATGTATGTTGCTGGAATGCATTATGTACACTTTGTCTGGTATAATTGAGGCAATAACTTTTTTGAATAAGTTCACTATTATATAGGACTCCTCCAAAGTACCAAATACAACTCTAAACCTAGCACCCCATGATTTAATGAAAGACACCTTATTGTTGAATTTAGCTTCAATACAACTTATTATCTCCTTGGGTTTTAGGTCCATTTGTTGTATAACTGTTGGCACGATGAAGAAGATTATAAATTTAGAAGTGCATTAACTATGGCCCATGGAAAGAATGGGAGTTAAAAAGTATGATGATTTCTAATGATTGAAATATTGCTTGACCATCCAAGAAACTTGCTTCAGCATTCATGCAACTAACATAAACAAGGTCTACATGCTGTGCCATACTATAAACATGCTACCATCAACTTCTCCTTATTTGATGCTAACATTATAAATTCCACATTATTCAATATTGACTAGACATAGAAGGTGAATTGTAGGTTTTCCTTACTTAGGAAGCACGTCTCTTCAACGAACTCCAATGAAATCTATAATTCTTCTCCTACCCGATTGCTCCAATTCAAATCAGCAAAGGCAATCTCCTTATCCCACTCCTGAGTCATTTAACATATGATATAGAAAAGTCATTATTACAAATCATCCTTTCTTCTGTATTTATAGAGTTAACACGATAGTCTCTAATAAGATTTTGCATGACATCGTGATCTGCTTTGTCATGTTGATCTAAATGAGATGAATTGAAGAGTCATTTACATTGTCATCAGACTCATCGTCAGAGCCACTTATCATTATCCCATAGCCTTCAGTACCTACTGGCATAGGACCCCACAGATCTTCCTCATCAATCATGCCATAATGAAATGACTGTCTTCACTCCTCATGAACTTATTGTACAAACAATTACTTTGCATCATAATTATGGCATAGAACAAATGAATACTTTGATGATTGAAAATAAAGTTATTTAAAAACATATTGTATAGCTTCAGTGAAATCTACCAAAATAGTATGAGTGATTGAACATCCTTCATGCGCATAATCTAACTCACCAGATTGCATTATATGGAAATTTATATTTTTAATATTCATCATTTCGATGCCCACCATCTCCACTTCAATATACAAAATAAAAAGTTCTCCAAAAGAATAATACAAGACAACTTCACACACTTCATCAACAAAGCTATGATAAAATCATTTCCAACAGGAACACGACATACCAAACTCATTGTGGTTCTTGATGTGTCATATTTAAGTGATCTAATGACTCGTAATTTGGGTTGCTCTAGATTAGTATGTCAGGACTTGCAATGGATGGATTAGGCCTCCAGCATATGTAGGTGAGAACTTGTCATTCACACACAACTATCCATTATATAAGAGCATAGTTGAAGCCAAGTATCTATTCTCTGTTCTAAGTACACAACTAACAATATAACATAATATATTCATATGTCAACACAAAACTTCATACTATATCAAACTAACATAAAATATCATATTATTCTTGGAGACATCACAAGAGTTCAAATCACACTGCAATATTCTCTGCTCTCCATTATGATTATTATTTAAATCACAATACAAAAAATCACTGTAAATGATAATAAAAAAATCAAAATTTATACCAATGTAAAAGGTTTATATATATATATATATATTGAGAATTTCTCAAAAATTAACACTAAAACATATGATTATAACACAAACATACAACAAATTTTTCCAAAAAAAAAAATCAGAAAAATAAATGATTTTTCAAAAATATAACACTAATTTAAAAAAAAAAAAACTTCTTTGCTTTCAACAGGATATACTATGTAGAGAAAAAAGAAAAACTTCCCTCCATTCAACATAAAGCTTTTTTTTTTATTCCTTCTTTTCTTTTTTTTCTTCTGTTACACATAAAGATGTTTTTCCACCAATTTTAATAAAGAAAAATAGTGTGATTACATTTCTCATAAATAAGGAACATTTCTCACAACAACTAATTTGTTTGTAAAATCGTCCTAAATAACTCTTAACGAAAATGATCGCCGGCGAAATCCTTCGACAAGAGATGAGATTGGAGTTGGATGAGAGAGGCGAGATCAGAAGGCAAGCATTGAATAAAGCTTCCTCCTCTCCTATCTAAGCTTCTTCAAAAATTCACTTGACTCACCCTACAATGGCCAGTGGGTAGCGGCTGTGTCAAGTCGCCAAACGCTAGCCTAGAGAGACTATTACATGCGGATTTCAGACACGAGAACTGTCCGGATTCTATGAGTGTGCACAGTAAACCATAGGAGTAAAAGCTATATTATCGTGCATATTTCACTTTTACTACACACACTCATAGAATTCGGACGTAATTCTATTTCAAATTCTGCACATACTAATTTATCCCTCTCTAGACAAAGGCAACTTTTTTTTTGGGCGTGAAATAAACTTAACTTTAATGGTTTTTAAATTTGTCCAGATTATGATGAAGATTATGATGATGGATAGATATTCTTTCTACCCTCCATCATCTTATGCTCCTCCTCTTCCATTGTATCGCTGATGGCACGCCCTCTGGTTTCGGGCAAGAACACAATGAACACCCCACACAAAATGATAACTATACCAAACACCCCAAAAGAAAGAAACTTTCTACTCCTCCCCGCCGCCACCATCGTCGGCGCAGCCACCCCACCGAGAACCACCGCCTGCCTCACCACTGCCAGCGCCGAGTTCCTCACACATGTCGGAAATAGTTCCACAGTATAAATTACCTCCATGTAGAACGCCGCGCAAGCCCCGAAGAACGCCACCATTTCCAATACCATCGCCGGCCATCCGCCCATTGCTGTACAGGCAAGGCTACACCCACCGCTCACAATCACAAACCCTATCAAAGATCTCCGTCGGCTAACCACATTAGCGAGAAAGAAGACGACAAATGCCGACGGAAGCTCGGATGCCGCGTTCAGCGCCGCACTCATATAGAGGTCTACGTTGAGGTTCCCAAGATTGAGCGGCATTCCGTAGTACATTAATCCGACGCCGAAGCTCATAATCATGATCGCTGCCAGTCGCTGCAACGCCCACGGCTTCTCAAATAATATCCTCGCCGCCGAGTACAAACCTTCTGACTCTGTTTTTTTGGAGTAAGTCACTGCCAAGTCTGGGAAGCTCTGTATTTCTTTCAAAGATGTAAGCTTTTTTAGTGTTTCAATGGCTTCTTTTCTTTTGCCTTTCAAAAGAAGCCAACGAGGGGATTCTTTCATGAAGAAAAGGAGAAGAATACTATAAAAGAGCGAGGGGATTGAGGTGTAGAGATAGAGTAGTCTCCATGAGTGTGCTCTGTTTAAGAAAGCGATGGCCGGAAGGGTGAGGAAGCCTGTAGTGGAGAAGATGAAGGTGAGGATGCTGACGTGGTTGCGGTATCGTCGGGAGACCAGCTCGGACGAAAGGACGAAAGCGGAGGTGCCGACATTGGCACGGGCGAAGCCGCAGGTGAAGCGGAGGGCGGCATAGACGGCGAGGTTGGGGGAGAAGGCGGTGAGGGCGGCAGCCAGAGACATCGTTAAAGAGGAGAGGATGAGGGTGTTTTTGCGGCCGAAGCGGGAGTCAGCGAGGGTGGCGAGGGACAGGCCGCCGACGAGACAACCAGCATAGAAGGAAGAGGCGGGGAGGGCGAGGAGAACAGGGGAGGAGCACTCGATTGAGAAGTCAGAAATGGTGGATATTTTGCGAGGTTGTGAGAAGGACCAGGAGGCTGTGGATGGGAGGTCACAGGGTGTGGTGAAGTTGCATGTCGAGGAGGTGCAGTGCCACGGCGGTGGTTTGTCAGAGAAGACATTGATGAAGGTTTGCTGGGAGTCAAAGATCCAGGCGAGGCAGGCTAGGAAGGGGAAGAAGAGGGCGCCGGCAGCTGCAGACATGTAGTGTTCGACGATGTCGTCGATGGAGTTAATAACGGTGGTTTTACTTGAATTTTGGTTTATTTCAACGGTATGGTCGCCGGTAGTTTCACCGGCGGAAGGTGGCGGGACTGTTGGAGCCTGAACCATCTTGTTCGATTTGTGACGATGGGACTCTGGTCGAAGCGGTCGAAGCGCGATCCTTTAAAAAGAAAACAAATCCTATCATATTCTCAGAAATTATTAATTGACGGAGTTTTTTGATAGGGATTTTTTTATCATTGTTTTATATACAAAGATTGAAAGACTTGAACAAATACTTATTACCGGTCTTTTGAAAATTGGATCCTGCCAGCCAGTTCAACTTTAAACCGGCCAAGTTATCATGTCAAAGTTGAAAATAATATTTGTATCCATAATCCACCTGGCTTCAATCTGTTTGAACCGCTGGTTCGACCAAAAAAACCATCAAATAAATTCGGTTTTGACGAACCGATTGATTCTATAACAATTATAATTTTATTTAATTAAATTTTAAATAACATGTGTTTAGGTAGGAGTGTCAAAATGAGTTTTCCGATTGGGTTTGGATCGAACCAAGATTTGACACAAGTCTAAACGGGTTGAACTAAATTTGACCGGTTTTATAAAAATGGCCAAAAATTCGGACCCAGACATGAATCGACCAGCAAACCCATATGAGGTTGGCTCATTGTGGTGCGGGAACACGCTATGCCATCTGGGTGCAGACTGCGGAGTCCGGATGCAGGCTAGAGACTGATCGAAGTTGAAGGTTCGAACCCGGGGTGAAGTGAGCGAGCGAGCGCGATGTAGGTTCGAACTCCAAAAGCGATGCGAGGGGCGACAGATGACGGGCGAGCGACTGAGCGCGGTGCGAGGTTATTCCGTCTAGATGAGGCCAGAGTCTAAGGATTGCGGAGTTGGGACATGGAGAGCACCGAGCGCGGTGCGGGTCCGGACGCAAGGCAGGTTATTCCATCTGGTTGAGGAGTCTAAGGATTGCGGAGTCGGGACACATGCGAGCATCGAGCACGGTGCGTGTCCGGACGCAAGGCGAGCTGCCGAGCATGGTGAGCGTCTTGTCGTTTTGGTGTTGACTGCAAAGTTTGGATGCGAGGTGAGAATCAAAGGATAGCGCTGTGTGGGCGAGGAAAGTGCGACATGTTAGATTTCTGCTTCATCCCTGGTTCCCAGGTATATCTGAACCCAACCTAATTTTTTAAAAAACCTGAACCTCTACTCGCACAGCCAACGGGTTGGCCCAAACCAAAAATTTTCTACAGGAACTTTTCGTCGGACATTCCCACGGATTTTCGACGTAATAATTTCAACATATTTCTGACAGAATTACGGCGGATTCACGACGGAATTTAAAATTTTGTGTAAGAATAATTATAGCAAATGCTTAAAATTAAATGAATAGTTTTAATAATTATTAATTAAGTTAGATTAATTAGTTTAAATTAACTAATTAACTAATTCAATAAATAAATTTAATTATGGTGGAAAATTCTAGAATTTTGAATTAAAAATCTTTCATTTGGCTATTAATTCCTGTTACTTTCTTATTATTTTTCAAAAAATTTATAATGAAAATATATTTTTTAAATGCAGAATAACTAGGTTATTTTCTTTACAATAATTTCACAATCAACTTTATAAAATATTATAGTCAACCTATACAAATCCCATATTTGAAAAACATAGAAGATTTCCTTAATTTTTATACAAATTTTAGTCAAATGCTCTAATTACATTGGTAAAGTAGATGCCATAATGTAGATATTTACATGCCAATTGTTGACATTCACCACTGAGTTAATAATTTAAAGACATATATAGCGCCACTCATTGAGAACATTATGTGTTTTAGCTCAAAAGATTGTGACAAATTCTTTGCAAACAATTACAATATATCTTTCTCTCCAAATGTGTGCTCCATATGCTGACTCTTATGTATTATACAATATAATATGAAGAAATGATATTCTTATGTATTATACAATATAATATGAAGAAATGATAATTCTTTAGGCTTTATATTAAAGTTTTTTTTTTTTTTTTATGTTTGGCAAAAGTATTTGACATTTGTTACTTGTACGTACCAATGTTATTATTGATAATTTTTCAATATGATCAATTTCTCTTAGATTTTGTTTGGGACGGCTTTCTTATTGTTTTTCAAAATACTTTTTTAGTACAATATTTTTATTTTTGTGCTAAAAAGTTTCTTTAAAAATCAGTAAGAAAGCTGTTCCAAAGAAAGCCTTACACTTTCTTTGGGATAATTTTTTTTTATTGCTTTTTAAAGGAGCTTTGTATTACACAATTTTTTAGTTCATAAAAATTGTGTCCTAGAAAGCTGCTTTAGAAAATAAAAAAAAAAAAAAAAAAAATTTAAAAAAAAAAAAAAAAACCATTTCAAACGATGCCTTAATTTTTGCAAGTTTGAAAAGCATAATAGATTTTGTCTCTAAATGTTAACAACTAATAGAATTATATGCAAATGGTTGAACAACTAACTTTTTTAAAAGATTAAAAAAGATTATTTTTTAACATGCAATATTGGTTGGAATTCAATATTCTAAAATTTGTTCATAAATATTTCAAATTCTTTGAGCCACATTGACCTCATGAATAAACCTTTGTATCATGAGTTTTTTGTAGGAAATAATTTTTTTCAGAAGAGACGAATATATTTACATAAAAATCGCATGACATTATCTTGAAGTAATGAATTATTGAGAGTAGATTTTTTCTTGCTAACTTTTGAAGGATGAGATAGTGCTTGTAATAAAGTTGAAAGAGTTTTATGATGATTTTCTAAAAGCAAGCTTGATGTTGTTCAATCTATTTGCAAAATGCTAGAAGAGGGTCACCTTTAGCAAGAGTGTACCAAGCTTCTTAAATGATCTCAAGAAAATTAATCCAATAAGTCTAGTAATTTTATAAAAAAATCTACACTTGCTGACAGTAGAGTTATCCATAGTAAACAATAAGAGGACAATGATCGAAAGATAGAATGACCGGGAGTTTAAAGTGTGATAGAGGGAAGGTCCACCATCTTTTTATCGACCTTCCTATCATTTGAGGTGGAAGGATTGACTTTTTCTATATGTTGGCTATTTTCAACAATGGAATTATGAGATAAGGTAAAAGAAGTAGTAGAAATGTCCATGTATGATTGTTTTTGTTCTTCAAGGTGCTAAGAGAAAATGATATGTTTGAAACTGAAAGTTTTAACTTTTAAGTTTAAAAGGAGATCAAGGAGAGGGGGAGGACTTTTTGATACATTATCACCCAACTACTGAGAATCAATAAGGGAAAAGTCTTCATTGTGGTTTACAAGAGCTTGGGTTAGTATGTTTCAATATGGTTGAGTATTGGCATATTTAATAATGGTAGAGGAGAAGGATATGACTTTATTATCATTTTTGCCACTTGCACTTTGATCACAATTTCTACCACATCAAGAAGTAAAGGTAGGTAGTTGAATGAGTTAATATTTTTTATTTTTAGAGCAACAAGAGTTGGCATGAGCAAAAGTGTCACAAGTGTTACAACAGGAGGGCCCCATTCATAAATGAGTAGGATAGATATGTCTTTCCCTTTCATCGAAGTCAAATGGTTATAGGTAGATCTAAGGTTCTATAGATTTACACATTCACTTGGACATATGTTAAGTTATTTTGATTGTGAGGTGGTCAACAGGTTGGGGGAGGCTAATCTTGCTTATGATTTTCATAATCCACACATCATTCAAGCAACATAAAGGAAGATAAGAGAGTTTAACCCAAATTGAGACTTCTTTAAAGTCTTCTTTCTTTAGAAAAAAGTTGGAAGCCATCTTTTGAAAATAAATAATCTCCCATTTAAGAACCATTATCTTCCGTTATTAACCATTTCATAATCTTTAGCACAAGAAAATTTGATAAGAAAATAAATCATCTATTAAATAGTGAAGCTCAAAGGAACCTTTATGCTTCCACACTCTAATGACTAATTACAATGAATTCCCATAAAAGGGTCATTTTCTTATGGCATACTCAACAAGAGTGGAGTTCCATTCTTTTGAGCTTCCATAATTTCATCAATAACAAAAATAGCCCAATCATTGGCATACGAGATAGAGTTAGGGGTGTCAAAATAGGTTGATGGGTATGTTTTGGATTCAACACGAATAAAGTAAACTCGAACCTAACACGTTCAATAAACATGTCAAAAACACAAACCCGAACATAACCTATTAACCCATTTTTGGTACAATTTTTTTAATAAACTATCAATTATAAATTTTAGGATATTTGATAAAAATATAAGATTATACCCACAAGTAAAAAATAAGGAAAATTTTATATTAAACATATTATTTTTGGGTCAAAACGGGCTTGTGGGTCAATTTGAGCGTGCTCATTCTGGAGAACTCCTGAGATGGGTAATCCCTTGAAAAGTTATATTAATAGAATAAAACTGTGAGGCCTCTTATGCCAAAGTGAATAATATCTTGATAGTTAAGAGTTTGGGCTATTACAAATGGTATCAGAGCAATACACCAGCCGAAAGATGAGAATTAAGTGTCATACAAGCAAAGTGCTTTGTAGTGGAAGCCACCTCTTGAACCCTATATCGACAAAGTGCTACGTGGTGGAAGTCACCACTTGAACTTGTAGGCACCACCTTTAGAATCCTATCTTCCTAGTGGATGAATTTGGGATTAAGATGTTGATCAAGACGTCTATTATTCAAGTGGGAGAGATTGTGACTTCTCTTAATTAAAAGAAGTTTAACTCTTAAACATTGTGGCGCTTTTTGGTGTAATAGCTGAAATTTCATTAAGAAACTTTGCATTCACTACAGGAAAATGGTTTATTACCGAAGGAATGATTTTCGACGGATTACAATTAAATATTTCCGACATATTTTTTTGCAGATTTTCTGATGGATTTTCCAGCAGATTTTCGACGGATTTGTTTCCGGCGAACTTTCTTACAGATTTTAATAATTTTTTTAATTATTCTAGCATAATTTCTCCGCCGGACAACTGCCAAAAAATTTTCAACAGCAAAATTCAACTGGAAAATTTTTCTGTTTCCGACGAATTTTTTTCGCCAGAATTTTTTTCCGACGCT